GTAGTCACGGAAGCGCGCAGGAATGTGAAACTAGCAATATTTATCTCCTTTTAAATCGCATATTATCAAACGGCTGTCTTGTGCTTTTCACTGTTACCCAAAGCCTGTTTGATGTTTTACGTTTCCAGGCCTCTGCAGAAGGACAAATAGTTCTTTAAGAGATTTTAAAGATCTGTCATCTCCCCAATAACTGTCAGACATGAAGGAATAATCCGTTTGAATGATGATAGGAGGCAGAAGTAAAATATTTTGAGACTCGAAACACAGCTTTAAAAGGCTGAAATATCTGAAATGATCGGCTTAGATCTGTAGCATACTCGCCCACCGCATGTTACTTCCTTCGAGATTACGAGACCACCCCCAGCCGCGCATTAAGTCGGAGAGCCCTGTTGCACTTGTTGCCACAAAGCAATGGAAGAAGTGCCGACTCCAGGGGACAAGATAGGCTCGCAACCAGAACCGCAGTCACACAAATTCATATTTCTGAATTATTCATAATGGCACATTATACGTCGGAACTCAGAGAACCTTGAAAACGGCACTTTGATATATTGTCGAATAAAGAGCCGCAGAGTTGTTTACGCAAATTCATTCAGCATGAGATGTAATCTCAAGTTATTTCGTGTTCAAATCGTATGCTGGTCCTCAAATGGACAGGTTGCATCCGCACTTGAAAATTACAATAATTGTGATCCCAAATGAAATATTTTATACCTACAAAATCGTCACGTGGTGTCCGCACAAATACGAATATATCATCTATGCGGGGCGCAGAAGAAATATTTGTTATGCTCATTCTCAATAAATCCCACCTTCACGAAGATCTCCGCTCAAAAGCAATAGGCATTTCAATTAATTAAAAGTTTGCTTTTACAATACTGTTTTTAAATAATCATTGTTTTCACGTTTTTAAAGTTGTCCAGCTTTACGTCACACATTCCCTCTAAAAGCTTCCCTCCCCCCTCACGTTTTAATAGACAGGCATCCTGACGCTCATAAGATAATACTGGTGACTTGGGTCACGTGACACACTTTCAGAACAGGATTGTAAAACCGGAGAACAATAGGCTATATTAATTTGCAGAGGAGCGTTTTAAAATAACCAATAATTACGAAAAATTATATGATTAAAACAATCTTTTCCTTGTTATGCTAAAATTCGAGCAAGGTGAACTTTTCTAGCAAAATGGCATAAAAGATTAAGGTTTGCATGCCCCAACTTGAAAATATACATTAATAATATACAAAGGACATATGCTGTGCTTAACCAAGGACCTCTTTTTCAAAATACGGTTAACCTAAAGTCGACATGCTGTACCTCACGAAATGTACTAAAATTTGCCTCGCGCAAATCCCCTCTGCAACCTAGTAAATGAACTTTCCGTATATATGCATACCAAAATACACATTAATATTTTGTGTGTCTTCGATCTTCCTGGATACCGCGCAAAATTTTCCGGTTTTTGGAAAATTTGGTAGTCGAAAGGTCATGCGGACTGACTTTAGTTACTGCTTCTGTTTTATTAATAGGGAAAACGCGAGTTTTTCTTTCATTAGAAAACGTTCTACTCAAGTGAACGTCTCTTCTCATGCATGATGTATTTTCTGCGCCCTCCTTAGTATGCATATAAAATAATTACTCTGCTCACTAACGCGGAAACTGCATATATTAATTTCCAATGCTATTTTGCGCACGTAGGTGGCAGTTGAATAACTGGGTTTCAAACAAAGTCCTAATGTATAACACTTCTGACGATCGAAGACAATCAAGTTTGTATACTAGTAGCTACTCACTGTTATTTCGGGTTTATCATGTCCTACATACAGACCATGTATGTGTACCGTCCCCAATGTGTACACGAGTTTTGAATATGTTCTTCGACACTGTTTCAAAATTACCGAGATAATTTCTCAAATTGTGCTTATTAGCATTGAAGTTCATACGTTGGGAGTCAGAGCAATGTTTTTTCGAGGACTATGAACTATATAGCTTCCAACATGTAAATGCTTTTCTTTTAATGCAATTGTGTATCCCTGCACGGTCCCCAAAATATAAAGAGGAGGATATGCTGTCTCTTTGTCAGAATGTGCTTTTTACACTACCATTAAAAGGATGAGCAAAACATTTATTTCGTCTTGATACCCGTCGCCACTTATGTGACTAAGCGGCAGTCTACCTTAAGTAACAGAAACTAAACGGTCTGCTAATTCTTTGCAGTAAAGATTGCAATATCGGGTTATAACAAACCTCGGCGGCATGGATTTTCTACCAAAATGTCTTGAGGTTTTAGTGTTTTTCGGCATGTCTCCCCTGACTGGCCTCAGATACGCTAGGAGGAACATGAATATACGCAGAGGTAGTGTGTTAGACAAAGAATCACGTGAACGCCTCAGAAATTTCATAATTACATGCATTTCATAAACAGAAATCCCCTATCTCTTCAGTGTAAAGCTTGGAAACACCTGCATTGTATAGTGTATCTCATTGTCTGAAGTTCTCAAATATGCCTTCGATTAGAAAAGGTTATCCATTTAACGTCAAAACATTAATTGGCCTTCAACAGGATTTCAAGTTATTTTATTCGTGCCAAGAGGTTGGCTTCTTTGGGGTCCATACTCAGGAAAAGAGTATATCTCAATTTTAAAAAGATATCCAATGGATAGACTTAAATAACTAGTCTGTGAAAAGCATGAGTGACGTTCGGGGCAACAACTACTAGAGCAAGGCCTGATTACGGCCGATGCTTTAAGCATATGAGCTACGAGGATGTGACCGAAAGGTGTGGAAAAGATCTTAAGGATTTACAAAACATAAGCAGCTGTACACCTCGAGCTCAGTAATATCCTGCACTCCTCTGCGTTCTTAAGAAGATGTCACATAGCGTCCGTAAAGTTTGCACTGTGTATGAATCCCGTTGAGTACTTTAAAGGATTTTCATAGATTGAAAGAAGTGATGCTACTTAAAAAACCGCATCGGCATCTTGAAGAGTGTTCTTATTGCATTTTTTTGAAAACGAAGCAAAATCGAAGAAGACCTAGATTACTGCATTGTACGTGATTTCTCTAGATCATTTTTGAATTTGTAAATCACAAATACTTGGCCGAAAAGCTGTTTAATAATAACAATAACTTAAGGAGTGCGATTTTGGCTGGCGGCCTGAAGAAGTTGCTTTAAAGCTCGACATGCTAGCATGACCTACCTGCATTAGGATTGCGCTTACAAAAACAACTATGTAACTCTACATTGGTAATCCTTTTTAAACCAGATTTCATATCGAAATTTTAGTATCACAAGTTATGTCATCCGAAGGTTTCCTATAGATAATTAATGTGACAAGAAACTTTTTGACGCATGCTGTAACTTTTAGGCTGGTCGTGCAGCTCCACCTGACAGAAGCCTGCGCTGTTCCTGAACAGCGAAAAATTATCTGGATTTTCAGGACGAATATTACAATAAATGCAGAAATAAGGCAAAAATTTTTTAAATTACTACTTTAAATAAGGATATCTTCGTGACGTTTCCCGCACGCGAACGTAATTAAACAATAAAACTAGTTAAAGCGCCCACATTTCACGGATTAAAACTGAACTGCTCTCCTCACAAAAGGCCATATACATAATGAAAACGAGTTAAGAGCAGGAATAAATAACCAGTAAATATGTATAACTAACTTATTGAGATAAAGGCCTCAAGTGGGAATCGATCAGGACGCGAAAAGTAACCCCTGCCTGTGTCTGGAATTAACTGCAAATGTGCACTGAATTGCACCATGTGAAAAGTACGTAAGTGACTCAACAAAAGGAACCTAAGGGCTAAAGCTTGCAAACTTTTAATATTGGTTCAAAAATACTCGAAAAGGAGCGCAGAAGGACGAAAACGCTTGTACTAAGAACTCTTATTGGCGGGAGAATCAGAAAGCAAGAGAAATTACAAGTTAAGTTGTAGATTGTATTTCAAAATCTGCGGGGTCTCAACAGCTGCTTTAGGTGCGGTGATAGTACTCCAAAAGTAAACTTCCTTTGTTCTGAGAGAATGGCTATTGGGTTTTGTTATATGGGTTTTACTGAACAGTGTTCAGCGCGCTAGTATGAAAGGTAGTGATTGAAATAGGAGAAAGAAATTGCATTTTTTACAATCTGAACAAAAGGACAATGCTTCATAATAAAGGGACGTGGCATCCTTTGGTAAACAATTTTCCTCTAGACAGTGAGGGAAAGTCCGTCAGATTTTGTAAATCAGCACGTATTTGCCGATGATTCTGATTTAGCTGGTTAATTAGATATGCATGCTGAAGCAGGCGCGGTTTTGGCAATAAGAAACTTATTTTTGTTACTTCCCAGTAGGCGCATAATAAGCCGCATTTCGCCGTATTTAACCGCCTTAATTTAGAGCTTATGAGTCAGAAGCACGGCATCTTGCGGTTGCCTTAGCAACATTGATTAAAAGCAATATTTCATGCAGACGTGGTTATTAAGTTTTGCAAACTTCTTCCGCTGTAGATGTAATAAATTCTCGGTGAATTTTCATAATTACCGTGCTTTGAACAATAAGTATCACGATTTCTTCTGAAAGAGACCATCGTCAACATGCTGCCAAAAAACAGGTCCACATTTTCTATAATTATGTGTGTCCAAGGTTAAAATATCCAATGAACAAGTTCAAGACGAATTAAAGAACCCTCAGTGGTGTGATTCATAAAAATAAAAGTCATTGGGCAATCCGGAAAATATCTGAAAAGATTATCTCTATATTTTAGTCCGTATTAACTTTTGAAAAATAAACCACTGGAAAATTAATGTTAACTTGGAAAACGTCTGTCAATATAAAATAGTAGGAAGGCCCTCTAATGAAACACCGCATGTCTGCCAGCTAGCCAATAGAAATGCAGTAACAGCTATATCTTAGGATTTCGCCTCCTATTGGGCAAACCAAAACCTGGAGAACAGTGCTCACAATGACAGGGGAGTAACCATTTTCAAAAGGATACTACTTCTTCACATGAAGGTTCGATTGTTATTAGGTTAAATTAATTTATTCAGATGTAACAAACATTTTGAATGAGAAAGACCTTATGGTGATCTTTATTCAGGTGTTTACTGCTTACCCCTGGAAATGCAAATACTCATGTGCATATTTTGTACCGGAGCCAAAAAATGATTTCGAAATCATATAGCATTTTAACGGTTATAATTATTTGAGCTCAGTACCCTTAGGGTTGAAAATGACTAATGGCTGTCGCATTTCTTTTTACTAACGTGGTGTGTGCACAAGTTAGCAACGTAACGAACACTATACATTGGCTGTTGTTGTGCGAGTACACCCTAGCCATAAAAAGCACCGATTCCTGATTTGAAATGTAAATTGGTTTTTTTAAATTGTTTTTTTCAATTCTGGTTTACTTACGCGCAATGCAGATTTCTTTATATACATAAGTCTCATTAATTATCTTTACTTTAAGGCTATTCTCTCTTTCAAAAGCTTTCTTTGACATTAGGAAGTAATGCCATAAGGACTTCTGTCTGCCTTCCTGAAGCACCACTGTTCAGGGCCTATTTGGTGAACGCTTAAGTGTGTTAGCATGCTTTATTGTTTTTTGAAAAATGGCATTTTACCCACATAGATTTAAGTATACATAGGAATGTTTGCGTGCAAAATATGGACTATAAACAGGGTTCCTAGATTTTAAAGCAGAAAACATTAAGACATCAGGGACGCTCTAATTATTGCGAAATTTTGATTCGAAATGTCTATGATTATACTAAGTCCTTATAGCATGCTTTTACTCTCAATGTTTTAATACGAACAATAACTCAGAGGAAAGTCTTTAAATTCCTACTCTTATGAGCAGTAATTATTATCGGAATCTGAATAACTAACCTGAAGTATTGGAGTCCGTCCTACAGAAGGTTACTCTACGAAAGAGGTTTTCGCCAAGGGCATTTTACGAAAAGAAGTATGAAATCTGATAACATAATTGCACCAGTTAATTGTTCAGTAAACCTGTCACACCCAGTTAAGCAAATTTGTTTTCCCCGCAGCCTTCGATTTGTTTTACTTCAGACCCATTTATAGTGCCTAACTTATACCTTGGAAAATGGCATATAACGTGTTGCATTTAGGGCTGGAAAAACCGCAGTCTAGTGCCACTGTATATACAATAGACTTGCAGCTTGGGTTAAAAACAGGCCTTTGGCCCACATTAGCGAACAAATTATTTGAAACTATTTCTAAAATCTCGTCTTCGTCGATCTTGAGTTGAGACATTTATTACTGCCACATTTTCCGAGTTTATGAAAATGATAATTAGTTATTTCTAGCTCTGTAGCTGGTCAAATCTTTCATGATAGTTTTTCAGTCGATCATAACGAATTCACTAGCCGTCGTTGGGCTTGAAAAGGGTGCAGACCTGGTAGATCATGGAAATATGAACCTCCTCGCTATAGTTGGCCTTGTGCCAAATTCTAGGGAGGTTAAGGTTAGTGTTAGTGTCACTGTTAGGATTGGGGCAAGGGCTATGATGTTTATTGTTGGTGTGAGAGTGGCGATTATAGTTAGCGCATGGGAATAGGCACCTCCCTGGCATGTGACGCAACGTCACTTGTTGTGCGGGGGCTCTTATCCCCATGTCAAGCCATAATAAGAAGCATAATCCTGCGCTTTCCTCAGTTATAGCGGGATGAAAACAACGATAGAGACCCACATTTGTTCGCGAAGCTGCCCAGAAAAGCGCTCTCTCTCTCTGCTTAATGGATTTCGTGATATCTTACAAGTACGTGTTTCTCCCACCCAGAATGATCGAAAAAAACCACTTAAATGATGTCAGTAATAAACTAACATTGGACTCCTAAGTTCGTTTCCCCCTCTCAGGATAAATTGTTTATCAGAGCCGCCTAGGCTTTGATGGTAGAAGGTATGCCTGCAGTCTCTGTAAAAGTTTCATTGGTCAAATACGGATCACTCCATTTTCTTGAAGCTTCATTTATGTGCCCTCACATAGGTGGCAGTTCCGTTTCTCTTGTTTTTGATCATAACTTATTAACTGCTTGTTGCTATCGAATCGCCTGAGATTTCTCTGGTCAGAAGTTCAAGGCAAAATGAAATTATTCCCCCTTCCTTCTGTAAGCCGAATACAACGGTTAACGCCTCTCACAAGCGATTATGAAAATTTGCATAACTTCCCAAGGCAAATAAAAAACACAGTTTTAAATATACTGCTCTGAAGACGGAAAACACTATACTAGACGCTTAAAACCATAATTGATCTTCTACACCCGGAAACTGTTTCTACGTAAACTCGACATGTTAACGGCTGAATGTCATATTGCTGTAGATTAGTTGATGGAATAAACTTAACTATCTATCGTCCGAAAGGAAAAAAACACTTTCCCCAACCTTGATAAACTTCATAGATTCTTTAAATTTTCATGATTTTCAAAGAAATTTGGTAAATTTCCTACAGTTATTTCTTTAATGTACCAGAAGTGTTTTTACGAAGTTACAACTTTCCTGCTGCAGATCTGTTTATCGGAGCCATTGGCCCAGTTGTTTTCGAAACCATGTCTACAAAATAGTACTTCTCTTTAAATTTCTCACTACGGAAAATAATGGAGTCACATCATGCACAAAATAAATTTAAACGCCACACTCGAAAATGCTAAAAACCTGGTATATTTCAGTTTATTTAGAATGAGCACTTTACCCCAATGATCATTCGTTGCATAAATAAACCAAAACGCGACTAATTTAAAGCTGGCCAGCGTAATAATGTCGGTTATCGAATAAACTATTTGTCGTGTATCCTGTAGGTTGGCGCTTCTACCTCGCACTCACTCAGCAAATTTCTATGATTGCAGGCGTTAGCTTAGATAACCAGTGTTTTTGGCAAGTTGACTGTTCCTTTCTTTCTCCATTGTTGCATTCTCATCCTAGTGAAACAGAACAGCGGTGCAGTACAGGTTGTGGTGCAGTCTGATAGTGTTCCCTGAATTTTAACTCATGTTTAACTCTAAAAGGACTGAATAAGTTAAAGTCCGCGTTCCTTTCAGAGCACTTACTCTGGGCCGTAGAAGTACCTGCCCTTTAAACGTCTCTGAATGTGCGTGTCTATGGATTTCCGTTTTGGCTTTGCCTTTTTGTCAACTCAATTCTAACAGTTTGAAGTAGCTGTTATCTGCCTGGGCGACATTGTTATTACTTACTGTAGGCATTGTTTTCCATGCACTTAAATGCGTTCCCATGCATTCGTGGGAGTATAGAGAAGATGTTGATTTGGTAATAACATGTTTCTGCTGCAAATGCTTGGGCAAAGTACAGTAAGTAATCAATCGCATGAATGTTAACCGAAATTCTGGAATGCGTTTTCAATTAAGAATAAGCGATTAAGTGGAGTCGCAATATTGACAATCATATAGCACAATTCCAGAATATTTCAGTCACGCCAACATGCCGGCTTTTAAAAACACTTCTTTTCGGCTGGTTGTAAAAACCACACTTGACAAAGATGACTACTTATATAGTATGCGTTGTTCCCATTGTTTTTCATATTCTTATAATTTCGAATACATTTTAAAGAAAACTGGTACGAAAATACGCTTTCTTGCACTCAGTCAGTAGCGGACCATGTTTAAAAATTTTGTGCTTGATAAAAGGTTACCTTTAAACTTAAAAGTTTTTTTTATCTCAACGTAATTTTGAGTTTAATCTGCCCGCATTGGTGTTTGAGGTTAGCGATCTGGAAGTCGTAAGCCTTCTGTAATAGGTAAATAATACCTTCCTCTATGTCATTAAGAAGATATCATACATAGGACTCGTAAAATTTCGCAATGGATGTGGGCTATGCTGAATGCTTCGTAAGGAGCACCAATAAGCAGAAAAATATGGTCCTCATTGCAGGGCCATTTTACGGTCTTCAGAAATCTCATAAATACTAACTTTCTAAAAGGGACATACAACCTTTCTTTAAGCACATGTTTAGAAGGTGTTATTTGCCACATAATGACTGCTATAGAGAATATTTTTGTGAGTATTTTCTACAAAGTATATGGGAATCCATATACAGCTCACCCTGCCTAAGTTGCCATTTTACTGAGTGTTGATTTCTGAGGCGGCCGGAGAGGAGTGTATTCAAAAGTCGAGTGACCCAAAGAGCTTGAGATTATGCCGCACGATAGTTAATATCACAATCTCTCCAAAGTAGTCCTCCCTAATCAAAAAACATCCCAGAATTTCCGTGAACGTTTCTGGAGATTAGTCACTTACTGCATCTCCTTCACAGGCACTATCGTCGCTCTGTGTAAAAACCGTTTTTTCATGCATTTAGAACTTTTACAGGGTTAAGAATGGAAATTCCATGGGAGTACTGAGGAAGTTATAATTCAATTACGAACACATTTCTGCTACAGAGTTTTGCGCAAAATATATAAGTTTTCGCCACCCACAACAACCCCAGTTGCTGTTGTTGAGGTGATCGCTAAGACGAAGGCAATTACATGGATTCTCAAGCACATACACCAGCCTGCGACGTTATTACAACAATCTGAATAGGAAATCACTGCACTCACTGGGTTTACTGGACAGACCTTAGACCTCCGAGTTGCTAGCACTCTGGACAAAGGTACGCTGAAGACACTGCGGTTTATAACTGCGGGTGCCTTTAACTACCTATACAACTATCCAGGCCACTTTGCCTTCCCTGGATTACAAGCTCATGTTTCATCCCGCTCATGGCGATCAGGAGAGAAACTCTATTATTTCGGTCGAGAAATGATCCAACAATCACCTAATCGGACTGGGAGATGGCAAATCGTTTGACTGACAAACCACGCCCCTGTTACTGGATACGGCTGCGTCCGTGGGTAGTATGACCGCCCTTAAGGAGGTCGGGGGTGGTACCCCTCCAAGCGCAACGATCAGCGACAGCAGACCTGGATAACTTTGTGCAGTCGCACCTCCAGCAACGAAAACTAAGTGCTGTTGGATCACAGACCAACTCCATCTAGATTTTCAGCAGACCTCTTCGGTGCCTCCAGCTGAGCAGCAACGCCCGATAAAAAACAACAGTACCTTAACTCATGGGGCTAGGGGAGCGACCTTAGTCGTGCTTGATAAATAATCATAGAATTTCGCATTATTCTGCCCTAAAGTATCCGAATTACCTCATTTAAGACCAAGTTGGCGTACTTCATTTAAAGATCCGTTTCCAAATAAAGCGGGTCGAGAACCCCCAATTTTCATTTATTTTTCACATACATAATCGAGCACTGTTACAAGAGGACTCATCATATGGAGGTCCTTTACACGTGGCTCATTGTGGTGACTGAGATATTCCGATGGTTAAGTGAAACCTTCAAAGTCCCATTAAGAGCTTGTATGTAAAATCGGCTAAGATGACTGTGTTTTCCTCACCTTTTTCGACTGCGAAAAACTCGGTCTCGATTCAGCCGAAACTGACCGCTTTTAATGTTCGTAGTTATTAGTTAAGAGGGTCTTTTTTGGTCGGAAAAGCAGCTCAAACCTTCTCTGTCTTTTACAAGCCTAATAATTCACTGGCCCGAGACTGCGTTCTCTAGGTCTTCTCTGTGGGACAAGATTGTTATCACCGTAACGCTTAGTTAAGGAGTTGTGCGAATCCAACACTGACAAGGTTGCACAGAGACCATGGAAGATCCCATCAGCGAGATAATAAACTAGTACAAGCGATAGAATGCACTCACGGCTGACACCAGACAGAGCTTAGTGTGGATCAGAACCCGCTCCACGGCAGACCGGCAATAAGCGTTGTTCACAGCAAGGATTCTTGATGACATCTCGTCGCAATCCATCATACACCACAGGGTAACCCATGATGAATGAATTCGAACGCCTCAACGGGGTTAATTAGGCAGACTTCTGTAAAATGCTGTTTTTACAGAGTGCATCTCAATGTGAATATTTACTCGAAGTACACGAGTCCAGTTCAGAACCTGAGCTGGTTGGGTCAGGTTCTTTAAGCATGCCGACACTGAAGATGCGCCAGTATACCAGCTATGATAAAAACCTTAAACCTAGGCATAAGGATGATTAACATCTCGTCTTCGGGAACGATCCAGTCCCAGACGTTTGTATGAGCATTTCGCGCATTCAGGATGTCAGACAGTTGACTTAAAATTTCGACTATGATTGAGTTTCCACCTGCTCCGAGCGTCTCGTTTTGAGCAGCTCCAATATCTCGTCGACGTCTTTTCTGCAAAAGGCGGACAAAATGATATCACATTGGTCGGAGAAGGATGGAAGTTCGCTGCAGTGGAGAGCAGTGGGGTGATGTGCTGGTCATCAAGTTAATAAGATGATCGAGAGGATCACGCCAGCGCCCAAACTCGGTCGCACTGTCTGCTGCAAATTCAGTAGCCGCATCGCGAACAGTCACTCAGCACAGAGGACTTCCCTTTAATTTGGCGTATAAATGACTGATTTTACTAGCGCCAACGACATTTGTGGTTCTGTGCTTAGATTGATAGCCTTCTGTTCCTCAACCGATTTCGCATTCAAATGGAGAAAAGCACCAACATTGCAGGATGTTGTGGAGGCCGGTTAAAATGAAAACTATAAGGCCATTGCGTTGGTTCGGTTACTGCGGCCCGGTTGGATGAGTCCGCGAATTACCTTAGATACCTCTCGGAATAAGGAATTCAAATAGGGCCAGGTCAGTTGGTGGTGTTGACGGTGATAGAAGTGAAACTTGATGACAAACAACCATTTCCGATCCGGTAAACGTTAGTTTATTTCTGTTTCATTGAGGACCAAATTCAAAGCAGCAAATAAGCTGATTGTTTGAGGGGTCGTCTGGTTCACTCCAGACATTCCAGTCACCGACAGAAACCCCTAGATGCCGGTCTGAAACATGGACTTGAACCGGGCAGTAGACTTTCATGTTGTGTTAGTGAAGGCTGCTCTCTGCCCGATTTTGCGTAGTAGACTCGCGGAACATTCGCCCATTCCGCCATCCACTACGTCTGTGCTCGGACACTATTTTACCACACCACCACATCTGAGGTGCAGATCACGTTGGTTCTCACATGCGCCGCAGCATGAATGACAGTACTTGAATCAAACGATTTCATACGGCTCCCAAGAAAATTCGAGCACAGGCGCGTTCTAGACAGCCCCCTGAATCGCGTGTTTAAGGTTGTCTCAAACATCGCCTTGACTCAAGAAAGTAACAACAAAGCGGCGGTGGCTGGCAAACGCACTGAGTACCACAGCAATGTCTTCAAATTTTGCGATATTTTATAAGGTAATCGGAGCGCCGGATTTCGACACCTGCCCTCTAGTGGCACTGGCGTGCTGGCCTATGATTTTTTATTCGTCAGGCCCGAGAGTCTGCATATCTGACGCCGTCCAGCAATCCACCACTCGCGGACGACAGCCAAACTAGCAGGTATAGTTTCATCTTCTAGGCCGCTCATCTTTCAGGATCAACTACTGTATTTTAATTGTCTCGTGTAGTTTAGTTAACACTGTCGCTGACATCGCACGCTAATTGAGCGGGACGATGAAAGAAGACAAAATAAGCAGTGACCTCGAATAAGGTCGACTAAATTAGAAACCACTTCCTCTCTGGCGGGTTTTGCTGCAACGTCCAACCCCGAAGGCGAAAAGTAATTAAAACTGTCCAAATCACCCCAGGTAACCTTTTTAGACTACATTTGTTTGCTCCTCAACATATGCATCCACCTGAGTACGTAAACGAATGTAAAGAAAGCATGCGCCCTTCTCCCCAAATGATAAAACTCTATATTTTCAATTTGAGATGGTTTAGTGGGCAGCAATATAATATTCCTAAAGATGTGTTCGTGGAATTTTATTTCAATACGACAAAACAAATTTTATCATGAGAATTATGCAGTGTTCCCATACACCAACATTAATGACTGTTTGCAGGAGGTCGAATTGAATGATTTAAAGCTCAAAGAGTACCTTTTAAAAAAGAATGAGACTCAATCTGAGTACGTATATTTGTTTTAGAGGAAGGAAGGGCGAGCAAAGGAATGGGTTTTCCTCAATAGCATTAGAAGTTTAGAGCTAAATCTCGCGAACGCTTTTCGACATTAGCAAGATCCGGTGAGGTGTAAACAAACATCGATAAAATCCTGCTGACTGAATGTCTTTCGTTCTAAATATACAAAGGTTTCGTACATAAATTCCCGGAAAGCGTGCCAGTTGACTTCTCGATTAATAGTTAAAAGTATTAAGGACGTTGGTTTTCAGGTATTTCGAGATCAATATCTCTTCCTTTTGGTCTTTGGGGAGAAAATCGAGAAACTATCGATTTTGCCTGCGACCGCTAATTCTTTTTTAGTTCTGCGAGTTAATTACTCGGTCGCTACTCAAAGTTCTTTGTACTGCTTTCCAGGTAGCAATGAACAACAATGACAAGGATGTCAAAGCTGATGTCTTCTTTGGTGACGGTTCCGATGGCTTTGTCAGGGGCAGTGAAGGTGGGACCTCAAGCCAGGGAAGAGATCCAACTAAGTCTACCTGTCGTGTTGTGTTTTTGGGCGCCGCCAAGGTCGGTAAAAGCAACATCATTCGACGGTTTCTGGGGCGGAATTTTGAAGAGAAGTACGTTCCCACCATAGATGACGTCTATCCAGCCAAGTTCATCGTGCGGAACTGTCTTGCACAGCTGGAATTTATGGACACTTCCGGAAGCTACGACTTTCCTGCGATGGTTCGACTCTGCATCTCAAAGGCAGATGCTTTTGTCATCGTATTCGCCAACGACAGTACTGATTCACTCAACACTGCAGGCCATTATCTGGATCAGATCAAGTCGGAACGGGAGGATTATGCCCCGCTAGTCAGTGAGATGCGCTTCCAGGACGATCCGGTGAGCCCCACCGACTCCCTCTTTGTGGCTTCGCCGCCGCCTCTGGTAGTTGTTTGTAACAAATCAGACATTCCTGTCTCCAGTGCCGAGGTCAGTGAGGGTATGATTATGGAATGGCTGCTAAAAAGTGGCCTCAAACCCTCGCAATTCGTCTACGCCAGTGCCAAGACAGAGGAGTACATATTTGATATCCTGAAAGCCCTCTGGTCTCAGAACGAGGTCACCAAGGCTGTTACCTTCTCCCCATGGGCCGAACAGAGGCGCGGCAGTTCAGCGAACATAATCAATGAACTCGTCTTTCCTGCTATCACTACCAACAACGGCGGCAGCGGGGGACGAATCCCAAGCTCCGCACCGGTTGACCGTTACCTGCAGTTACAACAACCGCAGCAGCTAATTCAACATAACCCACAGCTTCAACAGCAACAGCAAAGCTCGAGTCCGACTTATGACCTCCCTGGAAAACGCGCCTCGTTCTTCCGAAACAGCCTAAAGCTGAGACGAAGAAACAGTTCGAGAACGAGGAAGACAAACTCTGAGGTTATTCACCTTGATTGTGTGATCAGTTAGACCACGGGCCGCAAAGCATTCTGTGGTTTCGACTTCCCTTCACCCTCTCCCTTATTTCTTCTCTACAAAAGACCAGGACGTTTCGGCATTCCCTGCCAGCACTTGCTGAAGTGTGGGCACTCCGGTGCACTCCGGCACTGTACTGTCTGTCCACTCCAGGTTCTTCAAGACGCACGGGTCTTCCCTTAATTTGTCCCAGAGAACTCCAAATTACCTCCAGTGTGTGCATGGATGTTAGAGATTTGTGTTATATCCACTTATCACATATTTTGCCTTAAATATTCGTTAAACTCCGCACATCCGCATGTCTTTTTACTAGTCAACTTAACGGACATCAGTGGAAACTAACGCGGGGACAGAACAGTGCTCTCGCGGGCACTACAGTGGTGGATCTTCATACACTAGGCTGTCGGGGGTTTAGAGGGATTTGGGCCAGGAGACGAGTTCGACACCGGCTCCATGTTGAAAGTGCATGCAAAGAGCCAACCGAAAGAGTATGAATTATTTTTATGGCTCCCCTTTTGGTGAAACACTTTTTTGGCAGTAAGGTTAACCCTCGGAATTCAGGCGGACGTTTCATGCGCAACCATAAATAGAGACCAAACCGCGCTAGTGAAAACGAAAAAAGCTTATCTGAAACTGGATCCAATTTTAAAAAGTGCTACAAAACGGAAGCAGTAAGTCCTCAGCCGGACCTCTGTTTATCTAATTAACACGCGCATCTCCGACAAACAGCCCGTTGCTCCGACTTATAGGACGAACTACCCAAGCATATCCGATTGATGTTCACAGGTACCGGCGAGTAATTTAGCCCTGATGAGTGTATAAAGTGGTAGTTAGACAGAGTGAACGGATGGGGATCATAACCGGTCGTCTGAAGTCCGTAAAACATTCCAGTAAGCATGAGACATAATCCTGCATGTAAAAAGGGTTTCCAAACTTGTTCCTTCCAGTTTTCTTAGCTTTACAATGCCGTTAGGACCAGATTTTGTTAGAAAGTTGAGCCAAGAAAGCCTGATTTCGCGAGCTTAATTTACAAGCAGTTCAGCTTCCCCTAACTCATGTACCTTTACTAACAACATTGGCATCCTGAAACCTCAGTCCGGTGGAGATAAGTAAATGCAAAAACGGATCGCTCCAAACACTGATGACACAGATCAGAGCTCGCGACTAAACACCAAACTGATATGCGTAAAGTCACGCAGTTTACACGGTAGAAAACTTGGGTTAACCCGATGAGTAAGCCTTACCACCGAATGCCTCCCTAAGCAAGCAGTTCTGTTAGTTACTGTCCTGTTGGAAAACGCACACCGATCTGAATGAAGCCTCTAAAGAATCGGGCTTTACTCTATTTACACAAAGGTCCGCATTTATGTCATTATTTAATCGCGGCCATTTTATGTGCAGTCAAATCTATCATTTCATGCACAGCAAAGTCGCGCCGAATGAGAACCGAACAATCATTGCGTCGCCAAAAAGCAAAACAGTCGAATTTCACATTAAGTTTATCTTAAATGAACTTTGTTGAGAAGTCGTATTTTTGACATTTTACTTCCGATCAAAATAGAAGTTAATGCTAAAAAGGTGGGTTGAAAAAGGGAAACCTAGGTGAAGGCATTTGTGTAGTTTTTTGTGATCACCTCAAGGAGAACTCTGCAAACTAACGGCATAAGAATAAAATATAGGGTACTTATACTTGATTAATTTTTTTGACAGAATGTGCCGTTCTGGTACATCCGCTTTTGAACAAGGCAAAGGCAAAAAATCATGCAGAATTTACTGACGTCATAAATTTCGAGACCTCTCATTCAACTGCACACGGTCATTGCAAAGTTATATGACAAGGCAGACTGTTCAATCAAGGATGGACCTAGAGAGCTAAAACGTGATAGGTAACCTGAAACATGGGTCTAGTATGCGGGTGCATATGGCGAGGGGGGAGGGGGAGAGAAGTCATCCAAGTATGAGAGTTAGTACTACAGTGAGAACTTGTACGGCGTGATTTAGAGTGAAACGTGCGGGGAGCGTTCAGTCATGCCGGGGAGAGGGGGGCGGGTGGGGCGAAATGAGAGGGCGCACATGGGGACAGGGTCCCGTCCATAATCGATCCTTACCATGGCAGAGCCAGGTTTATCACGTGGTCCAGCTGCTTACAGAGTTCTGGTTTCCTCCTCCGTATTGCAGCGGCCTCTGCAAAGCGCAAGAGACGTCCGGTCGACGCCCGAAACAGGACCTTGAATGCAACCATTGGGTCCACCGTATGGTCCGTGTCCACTAGGTGCTTTGTGATTGAGCTCTTGGGTACCTTATTTTCCGCCTTAAGCAGCCACTTCGGCATGTGTTCAGCCGACCGAACTGCTACCTGCCTTTGCGTGCGCCCAACGTACTTGCATCCGCAATTATATGTAAACTCATTAATACGGTTTGATGTGGCGTGCATAGGCAAAATGTCTTTAGCTGGTCTAACTGGGATGGCCGTTAGAGTGCTTATGAACAACAAGCTGGAGGCGGCGTACGTCTGTTCAACTGAGCACCGAAGTCGTCGCTTGATCACGTTTGAAACGTTATCACCCTTGAAGGGAGGTAGATGGTCACGGACTTTTTAGGTACAGATATTTCTTAAGGAGTTTCTTGTCTGGGATGGCGATATTTATCGATGAATTTTTCCGGATACCCGTTTGCAAGAAAAACGTCCATTAGGAAAGTAAGCTCGTCATTAATCGTATCTGAGGAGCAGATTCTGGTGGCTCTATTGAACAAGCACAAAACCAAGTCCCGTTTTCTCTGAATTGGAACGAAACTGAGAAAGTGCATGTATTGTCCTTTCCAGGTGGGTTTTCGATAGATGGATCTCTGAATAGAGCCATCTGCCCGCCTACGTACAAGAATATCCAGGAAAGGCAGTGTGTCATTCTTCTCATGCTCGATCGTCAATTTGATCTTTGCATGTGCTTTGTTCAGAGCCTTGAGTAATAGTTCTCCGTCGCCTGGTTTTTTGACTATGGCGAAAATGTCACCCACATATCGCCTATAGAATGAGGCTCCTTGTAAGTTCCGAGCTAGTTTTCGCTCTAGATTAGACATAAAAATGTCCGCTATGTAATGACCGTGTGCAGCTGAATGAGAGGTCTCGAAATTTATGATGTCAGTAAATTCTGCATGCTTTGTCGCCTTTGCCTTGTTCAAATTTATTCCGGGAAAACATTGCCTCAACATCCGTTTTTGACAAAATGTGCCATCCGGATGACGCGTACATATTCACTATTCGTTGGGCGAACGGAATAAAAAGACGAATGTAACCTTAACTTTTTGTGAGCGAGAGCGGTTTCTAAAGGATGGATAACGCAATTCTTGCAAAACCGAACAACTTTAATTCTGTTGGTGTGTAACTTACGCCTACACTTGCCTTAGGTTGGTGCATAATGGAAGACTCCATCACCAGTTCAGCAAACCATTAGTCGAATTTCGCCTCTGGCCTATAAAAAAGCAGTTGAAGATGCATCCTAAATTATAAACAATGCTTGCTCGTCGGGTATACTGCGGTACATTCGAGGTCCCAGCCCACTTCTTCTGTCAAAGAAAGGTGCGCACTTTTTGAATCATGCCACTGAACGTATTAATGTAATTTGTGACTGTGTCTTTACTTCGGTTGTCGTTGCTATCAAAAACAAATTTACTGAGAGTTATTTTTGGAGTAATAAGAAGGTCAGGCGCCTTTTTACGTAGAATTTGTTGGCTATTTTTTCCTCTTTTAGGCGAAACTGGGCTGGTAGCGAGTAATAATCATCGCATCTTAGTACAGCGGTTTATCCGAAGAATGTTACCAACGAATAACCATGGGATACGGCTCAGATGTTTCAATTCTTTGGGCCCTACATGAACATGGGTCTACATTAATATAACCTTATTTCCATACTGAAGTCTGAACGCCTACCTTTTTCATGCACTATGATGTTCGGGGAAGGAGTAAGAATACCAAAATAAGGCTACAAGAGTTTATTCTGCAAACACCGATTACTCCTCCAAAACCTGTTTAGAACGTCTGTTTTATGCATGGTAGGAACCAAGACATTTGAGATCATATAAAAGTCCCTTTAAATTGGTAAATTATCAAGGAGATTCAGTTGTTCCAGATTTTAAGGTACTTTAAAACGGGAACTGACTAAATTCCGCCCTGTATGACTGACTGAAACTATTTGATAAATGACTGATTGCTCAGAAACACAGAATTCCCGTGGAAAGGGTCTATGATTGCTGACAAAGCGTCATTTTTTCCGACAAGTCTAATGATATCTAATGCAACGTAGTCCTCCAACCGTTCTTCGAACCCGGAAATGACAAGATTAGCGTCAAAGCGGTTATTTTTGGCGTTTTCTTGAAGAGGTGGTCCCCCACAATGCCTGAAACAACGATAGCCTTGTAACCACTATGGTAATGGGTGTGTCTGAACCACACCAATAGTCGGGTAAAGCCCCAGTTTTTAAGAGAGTACGGGAGGTACTAGAAGGAGGAATTTATTCTGCCCAGAACCCTGAGTTGTTGTCTCAGGCAGCAGTGGCTACTGGCGAGGCCAGGAAGTGTGCTGACAGCGTTAAGTCATGTCGACCGTTTTTATGAATGTCTGGGAGCAAGTCTAGCGGTCTTGTATGCAAGTGGTTTGTTGCGGTACACAAAATAAGGACGGCTGCGGCAGTAAAGACGCGCATGTGCGTCCGTGCTACAGTCGGTCGGACTGTGAAGTCGGCGCAACGGGGAGCGTTCGCAGTAAACGTGGGCAACCTCGACGCGGCAGGTCGTTAAACAAAAGCCGGTGGATTGCGCAAGGATGGTGGTCGGCCACAGATATGTCTCTATCGGCCTTTCCGGCCCGCCGGTTTGCATTTCCAGGACTGCGCCGCACGGCGTTTGAGGCCTTAATTGATGTAGTATCGTAGTGACACAATGCCTTGTGGCTTTTTACCAGTTAACCCAGTAGCCGAACCGAGGCTGAACAACAGTTGGAAGTATTGATGATGCACTGAACACGAATACTTATTCCTCGGATCCATGTGTCCACATACCTCTCAGTCAGTCATTGCTATTCAGCTGGTCGTCACCGTGGACGCATTGGGAATCCAGCAGACGAGCTAGAGGGTAAGGTCCGTCTTTCCGTAGTTCCCTCTCCCCTGTAAGGAGATGATCCTGAAAAGACTGCATTGTATTACTATTAACCTGAGCAAAGGTTATGAGCAGCGTCAATTCTTCTCTGTTTATCTTGACTTTTTCAGTTATTATCAAAGCGACCATGCTGGCGGTAGCTGGCGAAATTTCAGCCCGTAGTACTAGTCCACCAACTCGGCGGGAAGTGTGTACGACCGGAACCAGGTGAATTGTCTGACCCCCTTTGTTTCCCGTGATAAATGATGCATGCTACTCAGATATCCTGTCTTCAACCATAGGTAAGCGAGACTTTACATGACAATACTTCGAGGAGCCTGACCTCCCGACAGCATGTAAGAGTTTGGTAGGTTGCATCATATGTCAGAAAATTTCTCTTTTAAGAGGCATCAGGTGTCTAAAAACAAAATATCGTGAGCACGGGCAAATAAAGTTATCTTTGGGCAAAAATCCGTAATCAGTCATCAGATAGGAAGAGTGAATAGGTTTCTGGAAAAACTGTATACCAAGTATTACGTTATGTTGAATAAAAGCGAGGAAGTACTTTGGCAAAAGAAACCAGAGGAAATGAGAATTCAGCCTGTAAGTCGATGTGTATTGTATAAAACAGCATTTAAGATGGGGATTGGGGTACTGCTCGGTTTATCGCATGCTTCTGTGTGTTTTGTGACGAAGACATCCTCGGCAAGCCTCAATCCAGGAGGTCCGCGAGGAGGTCGCCGCCTTTTAAGATTAGACGCGTAGTTAACGCTTGCATTTAAGTTTCTCTCACTCTTCGCAGGTTTTTGATCGGAAAAGGTATGCGTCAAAGAATAAGTTGCCCCTGGGAAAAGGGGTGACAAATATTTTGTAAAAAACTTGAACAGTTAATTACAGTTTCTAGCTGTCCGCTGGAGGTGTTCGAAAAAACAGTTGACCTTGTCTTCACTCTTCGGCGGCGACCACCGATAAGTTATTTGTCATACGCAGCGGCGGTTTCCATGAGACCTGTGCGGGATAACCGCCATTTTGCACTGAAATGATGTTCGTCGACTTGGTCTGGATGCAGAATGGAGAACAGATGTTTTCCGTAAGCTTTGAGTTTTCTGTACAGCTCAGCCAGCTTTCAAACCCCATGGGTCCTCTTCGGGCAGAAAATCGGATGTCTGGTCGGCGACAGCTAATAAGACAGTAATGGCCGTCTTAGTCTCCTTCATCTAATCTGTGAAAGTCCTCGATTCCCAACTGGGGCAAAAAGTGAGGCATATTTATACGAGTAGTTAAAGTAAACTTTGCTTTATTCGCTTACGATATTTTCTACAGTATAATTGCCTTTTTAAATCGAAAATTTATTCGGCAATTTTTCTCGAACAAATGGCCATGCGTCGTGTGCTTCACAATAGCAATTAGAATCATATACTATAAATCTGTTATTTTTACGTTGCATTAAGTAAAAATCATCAGTATGGACACTGGCACAATTATCCCACTCTAGTCTCCTCTACTTATCTGAGTTAGTTCACTGGCACAAATCAGTCCACACCTGAAGTCTCTTCCATTAACTCGCAGCAAGTAAAACCATATCACATATTCCTTCATGTTCTATAGATGACAAAAATGGAAACAATTGTTCTCCCGCTAATGCGCGTACTTCCACCGAGGTATAGTGCTTGTAACTTGCCATTCTTCTCTCTGCTCTCAGGAAATTTCCTCGGTCTGCCAATCAACATTTCGCGACAAACTGCGATTTTACAAAAAATCGTATCAGATACAGTGGTGTGCCTTTCAAACGCCTGCTTATCGTATCAACGACACTCTCCAACGAAATCGGAATAAGCTTCTCAGCCGTCGATCGTAGCTTCCCTTCTATTTCTATATGTTGCGCAGGAGGTTAACTCGTGATTTAAATTTTCGCACTGACCAGAGCAGATACCATGTTCTTCTGGTTATTTTTGTCTTTTATAAAGAAGTTTCTTAAATCGGTCGTTCAAATTGTCTGTCAGCTTCGGATAGTTCTTCAAATGCCATTCGAGCACATTTGATCCTGTTAACTCCTCTAAAAGCCTTGTCCAACAGATGACGGTGCATAAATGAGCTCTGTATTACTATTAAAAATAGTGAAATGCGGTATAACCTCCAGCGCATTTGGGCTGAATGAACTGAATGGCAGTCAACAATTCAACAACTTTATCTGTTCTTTTCAATTGTCGTTTTCTGTTTCATTTTTCTCAGATCTTGAATTTTTCTCATTCTAAGAGTAAATCTTTAATGGGTTTTTAACCGTTCCTCAGAGGAGGTGCGATTTCTCATAGTCGAAAAATGCAGATTTTAAGTAAACAACAGAAAAACAGCGATAAGAAATCCAAACTTATTTTGTGTACTCAGAAGAAAATGCTACAAAATTTGGGGATTACAAAATACAGGACACCATAGTTTTGTCCGAACTTGATTTTTACCGTCATTTAACAGGAGCAAGGTAATTTCTGTCCGTCTGTCTTTCTGCTGTCTTCATGCCTCATCTAGCTGTTTTACACAAATTAAGCAATCGAAGGGTACCGTGGCTAAAAGCAAAGGCCCCGGGTCAAACAGCGAGAATCACGATTAAAAATTGCAAATTGAAGCACTGTTTCCGGAATAAAGTTGAATAAGTCGAAGACGAGCAAACATGCAGAATTGAACGACTTCCTAGATTTCGTGACCTCTTATTCAACTGCACACGGTCTTTGCTTATTTACAAGTCAAGGTAAACTGTTCAAGCAGAGATCGACCTAGAATGATGGAACGTGATAGGTAAAATGAAACGTGGATTGCTGGTCTGGTATGCGGGTACGCATGGCGAGGGGGAGGGGGAGGGAAGTCATCTAAGCAAGCGAGCTCAGATTACAGTGAAAAACTTGTCGGGTGTGATTAAAACTGCAACGCGCGGGACAGCAGTCTGTCATGCGGGGAAGGAGCGTGACGAGGAAATGAGAGGCCAGGTATGGAAATAGGGTTAGGTGCATTACCAATCCTGACCATGATCGTACGAGGTTGATCACGTGATCCAGCTTCTCACATAGCTCTGGTTTCCTCCGCCGTATTGCAGCGGCCTCCGCAAAGCACAAGAGACGTCCAGTCGTCGCTGAAGCAGGACCTTAAATGCAATCATCGGGTCCACCGCATGGCCCGTGTCCACTGCGGCATGTGTTCAGCTGACCGAACTGCTACCTGCCTTTGCGTGCGCTCAAAGTGTTTGCATCCGCAGCTACATGTAAATTTATAAATGCAGTCTGATGTGGCGTGCATAGTAGAATGCCTTTAGTTGAACTACTTGGAATGGCCGTTAGAGTCCCTATGAACAACAAGCTGGAGGCGGCGTACGTCTGTTCAACTGAGCACCGGAGTCATCGCTTGATCACGTTTGACATGTTATCGCCCTTTAAAGGGAGGTAGATGGTCACTGGCTTTTTGGTACGGATATTTCTCCAAGAATTCCTTGTCTGGGGTAGCGATATTTATCGATGAATTACTCCGGATGTCCATTTCTAAGAAAAACGTTCTTCAGGGAGGTGACTTCGTCATCAGTCGTATCTGAGGAACAGATTCGGGTGGCTCTGTTTGAACAGGTACAAAACCAAGTTCTGTCTTCTCTGAATTGGAGTGAAATTGAGAAAGTGCATGTATTGTCCTTTCCAGGTGGGTTTTCGATAGGCGGATCTCTGGGTGGGACCATCTGCCCAACTACGTACATGAATACCTAGGAAAGACAGTGTGTCGTTTTCAAATGCTCGACCGTAAATTTGATCTTTGCATATGCTTTGTTCATAGTATTAAATAGTTGTCCTCTGCCCCCTGGGTTCTTGACTATGTCGAAGTTGTCATCCACATATTGCCTATAGAATGAGGCTTGCTATAAGTTTCGGGCCAACTTACGCTCAGGCTTCGACAAAATGCAGTACTGCCACTTACACGTCATGTCCTGTTGCTAACTTAACCATTGTGCGTAAGGTGTTTAGGAATCCAGTTTCTTAACCTCTTTTTAATGACCCACAAAATGATTTCCGATGAATTGGTAATCCCGAAATCGGTCGTAGAAAATGCATTCACGGGATGCGAAGAGACCAGCCGAGTTTCAGTTGATTAATAACCTGACCGTCATACCCCACATTCTTCGCTCTGAAAGGAAAACAAAACAAACGACATAGAAAAAATAGTAAGCAAGTCAGGCAAAGTTTCGAGGACATAAAACTGAGAGCATATCTTTTCTAAACATATAGCTCCGATCGAGACAGTTCGCTAACATTCAAATTACAGCGCTGTCTGAAATCCGCCTGACATACCTTGTAATCGATTGACCAGTAATTTGAGGACTCGCATGTTTCAGTGAGAGCACTGCAGTATGCATGGTGGGGCGATCTGCTGAACACAATGAGAACACTCCAGTGTACGTGAGGTATAGCCGATGGAGCTCTGAAGAATGGGTGTACCTCCCAACGTCAGGTCAGGAAGATTCACTTTTTACTAATAATATCACAGAGTCATGTCCTCCTATGAACAATTTTGATGTCTGTAGGAGGCGTATCTCGTCAACCGCCTGCAAACTTGCTAGTCACAGATATGAATGTTTTTATTTAGAAATAGGTCAAGTTCTTTAAAGACGAAATAACCTTATTGCGCAGATTTTCCATAAAGACAACCCAGCTCATAGTTAAGCAGATGGATGTTGCGCCATAAACAATTGATTTTAAACCGTGAATAGTAAACTATTCTGCGGTTGGCTAACAGTTATGCCAGTTGGCATTCGGCGTACTCGGTTACTCGGTCGGTAGTGACCGTGTTCGTCTCACTTGGCCTGTAATTTTTTGTACTTGGCATTTAAGTCGGTATGCACATTAATGTCTGCTTCATCTGATTGCTTTGCTTCCAGGCTCTCGCGATCCTTCTGTGCTAGGTTGGAGTACAAGATGCCTGGTTTTTCCTATGCAAATAAGAGTCTCGTGCCCGGTATGCATGTGGTTGCCTGATAAAAGTGCCCTCATCTCTTCACCGATAGCTGTTGTTCACATACACGGGTGGAAAGAGTTTCCGGCTTGGCCACAATAGACTGCATCACAGCTGGTACAAGGTGTTTTGTACACGACTGCTTTGCAATCGGAATTGCCAATCTTGTTTTTAGGGTGTACAAGCTGGATACGCAAAGTAGTTGTCGACTTGTGTGCTACCTACATCTAGTTCTTTTCCAGTCATCTTTCGACTAGTTCAGATATTTTCTTCGCATAATAAAAGCGTTGCCTATTGACTGGTTTTGACGCATGGGTGGTCGTAGCCTTGAAAATGTCTTTTTTTCTTGGACTACGGTTGCCGTATGCATTGATGGGCAAGGTCACGATCATATCCACTCTGAGAAAATAAGCTAAAACGGTATTTTACTTCCGTTTGATAAATTTCTTCATCGAAACAGCGAGTTTTAGTTCGACTTAGTAAGCGGTTAATAGGGCTGCCTTTGTCGGCGACAGGGTGGTAACTACCAACATGTATGATGACTTTGTGACAAAGTGAAGCTTGTAACGTTTCCTCGGTCCTTCAGTGCACGAGAGCGTTTGGGAATGGGAGTTGTCCATCGAACTCTATTTCGAACACAAATTGCATTCCTGGAAAAACTGAATTAAGGTTATTATGCAGTACGGCTAATTGAACTATTCTTCTAATAACAAATGTACCGTCTACGTAGAACAGCCACAATTGTGGGAGAGCTACAACTTCCAATTTCTGTACTACAGCTTCCGCCAAATCGCCAGATATTTATTAACCTATAGCGGCGCCTTTCAGTTGGCAATAGCACCACTCAGCTAAGAAAAAAATATTTCTAGAGAAAGATCCGGAGTTTAAGTAAAGCTTCCGCAGACACATCGATAATGTAGGTCTGTGGTATTTGCAGACTACAGTATTTCGTTAAGTCTAGTGGAATAGGCATGTGTAGACAAATAACGTCAACTGACATCATTATCTTGTCCTTCGCAACTATGAACTCTTTTATTTTGCCCAGAAAATTTACTGAAGAACGCCCATCAAGTTACACGTATCAATCAAAATATCACTAGAGAGGAAAGTGTGAGGAAGCGAATATCACGGAATAAACCTAACCATCAGGTATGGTCGTAACAACTGCAGGCTAGATCGCAGTTGATAGTGAGGAATTGGGAAGCGGGCGACGACCTTAACCCTTATCATAACCTTAACCCTAACTTCAACCTCAAACGTTAACCGTTAACCCTAAAGAAAACCCTAACCCTAACGGAAGTCGTAAACGTTACCTTAACCCTTTGGCATAGCCGTAAATGAAAAACCTAACCGTAATACTGAAATCTAATCTGCGCTCAAACGCGAACCGTAACCCGAAAACCTAGGTCTAAAGGCAAAATCCTAATCCTAACCTCAGACGTAAAACGGAAGCCAAATGTGATTATGGAACCCACAAAATAGTCCCAGTAAACAAACCTCCCAGCTACCTGTAATACGGGGCCTGGCTACCAACTGCGATCTAGCCCAACTGCACCTCAAACATGACCAACAAAAAATCATAAAAGGACAGGATAAGTCAGCTAAATAAGTTTGCAAATATTTTGCCTGAGGCTAAGAAACATACTTTGCTTGGTCCTCCTCATTAAATGGAGGCAAGGTGTTTCCATATAATGTGGTTCCACATTATTGTCAAATGAGTTCACTTGACCGATACGGGGCGGGTCCTGAATTTTTAAATGCAGAGATTTCTACTCTCGTAGGATGCCAGCTTCAAACGACAGATGCACATTCAAATGGCCCAGTGATTTAGCAAATCATCTCCATCTTAAGGGAATTCGGACATCTATAAGGCTCCTGAGGGGGCGGTTCTTCTCGGCTTGTGATAAAGGGTCAG